AATTTCAGAACTCTTGCAACCATCAGTAATGAGAATCAGCTTCATCCGATAGATGTCCGACCACCATTGGAACGACAATCGGAATACTCCTTAGGTATGGATTGCTCTGTTATCGAGAAACATTCTCCAGAACATTTTATTGTGAAGAAAATTTGAAAGTCATTGAGAAACCGGAAGCAAAATCATCGGTTGTAGTTATTTTCTTTGTTTGGTTGCATTATCTTGTGATATGATATGTATAGTTAACTTTATAGCTTAACTGAAGGGTTCGGTATGAGTACTTAACTTTGGAATTTTTCTGTGAACTACTACAAATTGTACTAAATTTTGTATTTCGAAGATGAACCTAAATTTTCCAGGATTTTCTTGGGAAGTTTTGTCAATCCGCGGAGTTTTAGTGGTTATTTTACTGGATCTAATCTTCATACAGAAGCATATAAAGTGTTCTTTGAACGTTCTCTCACTCAAGTTCTTATGCTTCTCTATAGGGAAAAGAAAACCAAGAAACAGATAACCTGGGTTGAAGGTGATTGCCATCGTTTATAACGATGTTAACCTTTTATTTCTTGTCTACAATAGTTTTTCACGGACGAGTGTGATGTGAATTATAACCACAACGATGCTGAGATACTCGCAAAATTTCGACCCTCGACCAGATCGAACCCTGATTTCACTTTCCGGGGCTCGTGCATTACACACTACATCATGAAGGCTTCTGATTTGCGTTCCTTTCAGCTGGTTTTCTACCCACCTTCTAACTACCATTGTTTATTTTCTCCTTATTTTATGCTTTTTCAAAGGGTTCTCTATAAGTTTTCTCAATTCGTTTGTTATTCTTTCTCTCATTTTTGAGAAGTAAATGGTATAAAATCCCAGTACTGTTTCGCTTTTAGCTTTTTCATTTTTTACCTGCTACTTAGTTGTCCTAAATGACAATAAGGACTACTTCAAAAGAATTGTACTGATTTCCCTGCTGCAAAAGATGCAGCACATGTCATGAATTTTTGCTTTGTTTCCCTTTTCACTCTCTTATTACCGAATTTTATCCACTTTAGAGGAATTCCATCACGGTGAAGATTAGTTCGTATGACGTAAATTTGCTCATTATGAAGCATTTTTTTAATTTTCGCCTTTAATTCTTACCTTTTTTCAATAATATGGAATTTATCACCGCAATTAACGAACTCGGTTAACGTTCCGAGTTCAGAGTTCAGAACTCAAACTAAAAAAGCTATAAAACTCAAGGAGTAAAATAAACTCAGGGGCGGATAGCACACTGGTAGTGATGTCCATCACCACGAGCATGGTGCTACGCCGATTCCGCACCGGGCCAGGCAAGTCTCTCATACCTCTAAGGTCGGGGAATTGGTACCGGGCTTGTCTGGAAAAAATTGCTCTCTGTAATCGAATTGGGAACGCTCCAGCCCGTCTATCTCAGGACTCCAGGAAGAATTGCTCGAGCAGCACTCTACGACGTTGAAAACGAAATGAAAACGCTCAAGCAGCAACCAAAGCCACACGTAAAAGTTCTAGGATCTTCATGGACAATGGATGCGAGGAAACGAATCGCATGTGAGAAGTGCTGGGTTCTGCACGGTAGACGTGAAAACGGGTTATATAAAGTAAAAAAGATAAAAATTAATGAACTTTTTGCTATTACATCGATACGGCATTTATTCTTACAGGGCAGTATCCTTGCAAGTATTTGCTTAGGTCTACTTGTGCCAACTGTGTTGATCATTTCAAACACCGATTTTCCTTCAACATCGGTTGATAAGCTTACACGAGGTTGATAAACGATTTTTATTCGGCTAATGTTTCGACGTTTTCGTCGACCGTTTTTGAACAATAAGAGAAAAAATTCGTGGACGAGTTTTCAGGATACTCTGTATGACGGCGCGTCGTCACCTCAAACTAGTTCGATTTCGATCATAATTTTCGCCAATTCTCCAAACTCGTCATAAAATATACTTAGGCGAGCCCTGAGAACTATTGCATTAGTTTCACCTCTGAAATCTTTTTCCTTCTTTCCGTTTAAAAATACTTGTTCATTAATTTTTTTTCAAATTTCATTTCGACTACAGATTCCATCCACTAGGCTGGAAACTTCATTATAAATAGTTCATAACTCTGCTCTCAGATTTCTTTCTCTATTTTCTTCAGTATTCAAATTGAAATTTCCAGTTTCAATGTCCTTTCATGAGGACCTCATCTTTACATGCATGTAAATATAGATTATATAGTTATAGTATATTCAAGTCAGTATATCTAACTCCTCAGTCACCACTCCCTGAAAAGTATGATTTCTGGGAATTTCTTTTCCTTCGCCGTCTAAAAACCAGCTGTTAAAAAAGTACTTACTTACTTATTTGAATATTTGTATGGCGCATCATCACTGATTGTGCAAACCTCAGCATAGCCCCCACTTTTCTGGAGATTTGCTGGCTTAGCCATTGTGGTTCCCTGGAATCCCGAGGTCAGCCTGGCCAAAGTCTGCTCCAGGTCTTCACTACTACATGCAGTCACGGCCGTTGTGGATCAGAAGAAAATTTATTGAGAGATCACGCTATGGAGAATCATTTTTGCGGTATACATTTCATAGTCCCAATCAAATTAAAAAAGTAACATTCAAGATGTTTCTTACACAACAACAATCAATTACTGTGCTTTTTTTTATAATGTCTAGGTTCACCTTTCATCATGAGTTCATCCGTTGAGTGGTTTGCGAATACAACCGCAATGATGCTGAAATATTTACAAAACTCAGTCCCCAGATAATTCTCCTTGACGGGTGATTGCTGAAGACACCCTAAGGGTAAAGTCCTGGCTGAGGGAAAGGCGAAACGACGATCACAATGGTGCAGTGACACGTGAGCTCCAGGAGAACGTATTCGCGGGCTTGAATCTGGCCTGATTTCCTCGTTTTGAAAATATCTCAACATCACTGTGATCGTATTTCACATAATACTCTTTCGTGAAAAAGGAATAGCCAATAAGTAAAAAGTTGAACATTGTAACTCGTGAATATTTTCGTTGCTGAGCTTATCGTACACGATATTTTCCTATGCCCAGATTGCAGTCGATTTTTGCCTTTGAATCCTTTGTTGTTTCGGTGGTTCGGGTTTTTACAGACGTGTAGTCCTTAAGTATCTCAAGTGTCATGATGCGCTGTGAGATTTCTTTTCGATTCGTGTTCGTCGCGCCACTTCCACGTATCCTTATCTCCCTCTGTTTTGGCCTATAAGAGCTTCCAAATTTGATTTGTAAAATAAAAAATAGACTGTCTGAAATATCAGTAAAACGTTGCAGATGCTTATGAGAAAGGCACAGATCACCAACTCCTAATGCCCTTAGGAACAAATCCATAATTTGTCGTATTTGCTACGAAATTCATTTGTTAGTTGGCACGAGGCTTCTTAAAGGATTTTCGTTTATCTTGCCACTACGAATGATGTGAAATCACTAAAATCTTTTATCATTGAGGACTAAAAACCGTAAGTGGAAAAAACCTTTATCGCTTCAACAAGATTGATGTTTTGTAAGAACCCAAAAACTTAAAACTTAATTAACACACTATCAGTAAGTAAGTATGTTGAACTGACGTTGTTTCCTTGTTCATTTTTTGTCATCGTTATCATTTTTTTTCGATCTCTTTCATCCACCACCTCTCCTTCATCGCCGGTTCATGGATTTGATCAAAACATCAAATCCGGAGTTTTCTTTACCGTAATCGGTCTAAACTACCGTTTTTTTCGTTTTGGTATCACATCGATTTTTAGCATTTTAGAAACGATTTTTGTTGTTTAACTATCATTTCATTTAAATAATCCACCTTTAATTGTTCACTTAGAAAGGTCTTAGTTTTCCATTTAAAATTTCATGTGGCAAAAATTACAGAGTTTCCGACATCGTTATTATTAGAGCGACTTTTTAAAAATTTTCTTATCAACGAAAGTATCAGAAGGCATGAGTCTTATTTTTTGGGAAAGAGAAACCTCACTTCTTCATAAGCAATGGAAGAGCACTAAAATAGTTTTTAAGTAATATAAAACCGATTGTGTTTCTTTCTATTTGCAATACTACTTGTTCAGTCAACATCGTTCTCCAGCGTTTCCTTCCAATTTGAGAGTTCTGAGGTCTTCTGTGATTTCAAATCGTTTAGGTTCCGGCAATATCTTCTACTTCACGATAGATGAATTGTTCATTATAGTCGGTAGAAATCGTAGTGAAACAAAATTATAATCAACAAAAACAATGGTCATATCTGCTGATCGTTTGTATTTTGTAATAACTTTATAGTAATGGAAACTTTTTATTTACTGCGTATTACAATTTTTTCACATCAGGATATTTTGTGTGACATAACCACAATGACGCTGAGATATTTGCAAAGCCGCGGATCGTAGGTGTCTGTGGTGGGGAACGAACGTGCCTATTAACCTTTCCGGAGGCTAACGCGTTCACCACCACACCATGCGGATCTTTCGTTTTGCCTAACTCTCAACTAGTTTTCTATCTATCAGTGCCATCAACTTTATAACAACTTCGATTGTATAGATCTGTTACAACTTCGTAAAGATTAAAATAAACTTTATTGATTCTCCCCTATCTGTAATAACCGTAGCAAGGAAGCTCAAAACTTTTTATGTATTCTATTTTTTTCCAGTTGATCCATTCGGTAACGTCGTTCAAGAATTTCCACGTGTTGGGCAAATTCAAAGCTCAACGATCGGTCACCACAGAGAAATGCTTTCTGGTCGGAACTCGAACGATTCCTCGGTATAGTTCTTAAAAAACTTGGGTTCAACAATTACGAAAAGGTTTTCATAAATTAATTCTCTGCATGCACGTAAAAGATTTACATGTTTTTCCCATTGTTTTCAAGTTTCTGGACGCTTCTCTTCCTAATATATTTCTGGAAACTTTCCTGAAAAAGAAGTTATAAACGACATCGATTCGAATATCCAGGTTACTTCTTTCAGCTGATATCGGATTCTGTAATGTGGCGTGGGAAACCGCAAGCAGTTATTTGGAAAACCGTAGGAAAATCTGAACCGTCATCACTATCGCCACCAAAACATAGAGAAGCTTCTTCGGACGGCCGAGGATCGACGATCCCTAGACGTCCTGTGACCGTTGGTGGAGCAGTTTCACGTGACTCTACTGGCAGTTTTGGCAGTATCGCTAAGGTCGGCTTAGCTCTGGACCTATTCAGGAGATCGTCGTCCGTCTGTCTCGATAATGCGGTTTTTAGGTTGACCATCTTGACGTACTCGTTGGTGATTCACATCGATCATCATCAGCTTCAGTGGGTACCAGATCTACTAGTCAGGATACGAAATTGAGCAGTTCGTTGTAACAAGGGCCTTCCTCGAAACTTTGCCTTTAATTTGGGTTTACTAAGAAGTAAATGATGAAAACTTCAAACAGTGAAGTCAGTCTGATGTTTTCGCATATTTTTAGTCCACTCAACTTGCTCAACTGGTTATTTAAACTGTTTATATGTTGTGGATTCCAAAGTCGCGTAAATTCCTAACGTTTCCGGAGTTCCTCGAGTGACACCGGCAAATAGCCGTGACTCGTTGCGGTCCGCCGTCTCTCAAACCACCGACGCCTCCAACGGATTTCGTGGAAAATCAAGTGTTGCGGTTTGTACACACTCTGGAACTTCTTTTATATTTTCCTTAAAATTATATTCAATCCTCTAGTAACGTTTTTTCCTGCAGTGGCGCTTTATAATGCTTTGCAACATATTTTTTTTGAGAAGCAGAAACTATTTTCTTAATTGATGGAAAGTACAAGCTTAAACTGCAAACTTCTTGTTTTGTTTTTTAGGTTTTCTTTTGCCTCCTTTAATTTTTTGAAGAAAACCCTGTTTGGTTTCATTACTATCATTCGTCATTGGTTACTTGCTGGTTACTGCTTTCTTAGTAATTACTCAATATTTCTGTTGTTAAAGATATCATCATTACTGTTTAGCATTTCTAGTCGTTATTACACCACTTTGTACCACTAATATTGAGAATAACGTCATTATTCTTTTTTTTAAGAAGGCAGGCGAGACGAAGGACCCGTATGGTGTGGTGATGAACACGTTAGGTCCTTGAAAAGGGTAAAAGCGCGTTCGTTCCCCAACACAGACACCTGCGGTCCAGAGTTCTACAAATATCTCAGCATCAATGTGGTTGTGTTTCACATTATAATCTGCCGTGAAAAATTGTATTAGGCAACAAATAAAAAATAAACATTTTTCCTTTTCATTCCTTTGTTCTTTTTATTGCTCCATTCATAATTTCTTGTAAAAAAGTACTAACAAAAATACTTAAAAACATAAAAGTGTAAAAATAGGTCGGAAACCACTTTAAAAAGCCGAAGCTGACAAACACACGAATTTTACCGATTGTCAAAGAGGCGTTCGTTTTTATCCTTTTGTGTCTGGGACCAATCATACAAAAATTAAAGGAAAGTCCAATTGCAAGAAAAAAAATACTGCACAATTCATAATATTCAAAAAACTTGTGCAAAACATCTCTTTTACAGTTTGTAAAATGTAAATTGGTTCAGTTACAAGCATCATATCCGGTCGCATTCCTCGGTGAGATACAGCTGGCTCTGAGTTATGACGTCATCACCGCTTGTCTATCAGTTCACATCGTTCAGTGTCGATCGTTACCGCATTTCGGTAACCACAAACCGAATCCATACGTAAAAGTAAGCTTTGAAGCGAATTTCTTTCTTATTCCATTTTTTTTTGTCTCTCGTAGTCGAAGAAAAGTTAAATAAAGTTTTCAGTCGATGTTTAAAATTAAGTGGAAATAAAAAAGTGAAGGCTAAACCGTTAGTCCGTCCTATTGTAATAGGCAGTGATGGAAGACGTTTAGAAAACCTGTATCTTCCATTTCTCGAGCTATTTTCCATGTTCCCGAAGAATACTGACCATGTTTGAGACGTTCTTCGGAGTTTTTTTTTTCTAATTTTGTTCTGTCTATTTATATTTTTATGTGTTATTTTTCGAAATTCCTACTGAACAACCGCGAAGAATGTTGATCGACATTCAAATTTACCCCTCATTATGGTGTTGAAAGGGGTGCGTGTGGCGCAGTGGTCGGAGGCGCCCTGCAACACACATGGGATCGATCAATCCCGGCGCGCGTGGCGCTCACCAAGCCTTGCAACCCCCCTCCCCAACCAGGATCGGCAAATTGGTACCACACTTGTCTGCCAGGATAGCAGCACTACATATCGGGCATCGGGCCAGTGCTGCTATCGAGATATGCGTTCAACCACCTCCAGCGATGCTTGGTGAAGTCGAATGCATGGCGCATCCCTCAGGGATTGATCAACGCCGAGAGCTTTATCCTTTATCCTTATGGTATTGATTGAAAATTTTATGCAAGTGTGGGGAAATTTTCGTGAGTTTGCCCCTATCTTCAATCATATTCCGCTGCAAAAGAAATAGTGCTCTCTATTGACAAAACGGTTGACTAAACCTGGTTTTGCATAATAGGCCACCCGCTACTATGCCACCAATACATTTCATATAAATCGATTCCTTGGTTAAAAAAACATCAAATTACCACATTATTTCGACCATTTTTTACTGTTGCTGCTTATATTCTCAAATGAGTTGAAGCAAGGATCATGTTATTGAAAGTCTTCAGGTCCTGTTAGCCCCTCGCCAAGCCAACCTTCCAGTATTGAGAAACAAAACGAATGCCCGAAAATCTGATTTCAGTCCGATTTTTGACCAAATTCTTCAGGTGAGTCCGACTCGCTTTCTTAGTCAGCTTCTCAGTAGTGCTTAAAAACTTTCATAACGTAAACCATAGATATTGATTATTGCTTGTGAATAATTGCAGTATTCTGATGATTGTATTTCTTCCTGTACTCATTATTAAATCTTCTGTTCTTTCTTTGTTCTCATTAGTTCATTGTTTCGAAAGAAGTTGGCCGCATGTTCCTTCTTTCGAAAGAAAATCCATGGAGTATTAGAAATACTGGAGAAAAATCTTTGTTTAGCTCTAATCATACAACTGGACTTTTTCTAAGAAAAATGTCATGTGAGTATTGGAAAGATGAGAAAAAAACAAGAGTGGGTAAATCGCAACAACCAATAGCACTTTCACTACAAGAAGGACATTGTCAGAAAATACCAGAGAAAGACATCACATCGAGGAAATGGAAAATTGTGGTCATGACCTGAATCGCTTTCTTTTGAGGAAAACGAAGACGTCGAAACGGTAGCCGAATAAAGCTTATTTTATCGACCTTGTGTTAGCTCATCAGTGAACGAAAGTACATTGGTCATTCATACTGAGGTTAAAGGAATAAATCGGCTTGTAAAGAAAACAGTGTTTAGCTGAATTTATTGATTGAGACACTACTCATTGACAAGAAAACTCAAAAACGCCAAGTAAGTTTTATTAGTGGCGACAGTATCGAATTAAACATTTCCTCTTTCGTGTTTCGTCATTTCCTTTTTCCATTTTCGATCAATCAGGTAAATTTCCAGTTTCCTCGAATAACTAAATCGGAAGTGGATGACTACCGTATGCAGGTGGCGGTATGGCATAAAGATCTCATTGGTCAAAATTCGCCCATAGGAGAGGTATTTGAATATTTTACCGTCTTTTATATAACTCTTTCACTACCGTAATATTGCTTTCTATTAAAGTTGACTATAACACTTCGTGATTACAACTGGACGAATCCGAGACCGTTATGGTATCAACTGGAAGCGAAGACGGTTGGTAAGTGCTTATGTGATGTGGTTGGTGATAACGGCTGTAACAATGTTTTGTTGTGTGCTTTTAAACGATTAAAATAGAACGCCGGTTAGCTTAGTGGTTAGATGTGTCCTGTAATGCAAACAGTAAAATGTGTTCGATTCCGCACCTCAGGCTAAACAAGACCTCTATCTCTTGATCAATAACTTGGTACCAAGCTAGTCTCCGAAGATAAAACAAACAGCTGATACATTGTACGCTACTATAAGTAGGCACCCAATAATTTCTTCAACGCTACGAATGGTATCGAATGCATGTCACATCGCTTAGGGATTGATCAACGCCGAACGCTTTACCATTCTGCCAGGTTTTCAAGAAGTTTGATTTCGGTCCATTTTATGATGAGTCATCAGGATTTTCAGGATGCGCTAACAAATCAATCTCCATGGAAGATGATGAGAGCCAGTGTTCGCGTTCGTCTGACATTCTCTCTGTGGGATCGGGAACGTCGGATCGGCCCATTGTCATTACTGGTACGAGACATCCACTTCTACGAAGCTCGTCAAGTTCAAGTAGTACATCGTCACGCAACTCTCGTGGCGTCCGCGTGAGTAAAAATGCTCTTTACCATTTATGTAAAAAGTAAATTCGTAAAGTGCAAGACATGCATTTAATAATCATATAGGGATCAAGGAGAACCGAAAGAGCTTAATGTTCAGTGTTGACGGTAACTATAAGTTAAAACTGCAATTAAAATGGAACCATGATGGTACTGAGATATTTGCAAAGCTTCGAATCCAAGCCATATTCGAGCCCACGATCGACGCGCTCATGTCTTATCCACTGCGTCATTGAGGGGCTTATTTTATCTTTCTGCGAGCCAATTTTTCACCCTAGTGGTCCAGTCGGTGTTACCAGTCTTGGTCCGGTTTTACCAGTAACCACTCATCAGTCGGACTGGCCCATCTGGCCAGCTCAATCTTGCATTGAACCCAGTTATGCTAGGGCTGGAGCTGAAAGCACAATATTTATATTTCTATTTACTGCCCATTATTTCTTTCATGGCATGGTACTATATGACATGCAACTACAACGATGCTGAGATATTTGCAAAAAAATTCGAACCCAAGGCCAGAATCGAACCAGCGATTAACCCTTTCGATGTCTCAAAAAAAGTTTTGGAAATATAGCAGCATCACTGTGGTTGCATTTCACGTAATACCCTGCCATGGAAAGAAAAATAATAGGCAGTGAATAAAAAAGCTATACATTGCAATTAAAATCCTATCAGCTCGCTTTACAGAAGTGATCACTTAACTAATCGTTAATGCATGATGAAGAATTGCTCAACTTGCTCTAACGGTAGAGAAGGCGATTTCTTGAGTTCGGGTACGGTAAACCTAATCTCTTGTAGAGCATGCAGGACAAATTTATTGGCGAAATGGATAGACCGCCCTCCTTCCATGTAAACGACCACCTGTTCAGTAAGCTTAAAATTATACAAAATGCTTTACTAGAAAATGCTAACATAGGGCACAAAGAAATGACGGAGAAGATTTTTAAATAAAATTCTTTGCACGGCAAATGAATCGAAATCACCTGTTCCAGAAATTCAAGAAATAAACTACAGCTGGGAATACCTCGTTATCTCGCGTAACTTCACACAATACCTTGGGCTGACATTTAAAGTGTGTATCGGTATTTGTCTTCCCAACGGCTAACCGCCGTATCGTGGCTGGGAAGTGTTCCTAGGTGTTCGGCTGCGATGTACAGCGTGGGATTCATCATCCGGCAGAGTCTCCCAAGCTGAGGAGTTCGGCGTTTATATCAGGAAGTCCGGCTAAGACTAAACCAATATCTGGATTCGTTACCTATCTGTGTAAGAGTCGGTGCAGCCGGGCTTACAGAAAACGGTTATTGTTAAAGGAAACTGTTTCCCATGCGATTAGTTTCCGAGTTTTTTTTTTCGATCGGAGTTGTGAAAGTATTTGGTTGGTGGTTAACATATCATTTCAGTGATGCTGAGCTATTTGCAAAACTCCGGACTGTAGTTGTATGCGGTGGGGAACGAACGCTCTATTGTCCTTTCCGGGGAGTACGCGTTCACCACCACACTATACGGGTCCCTCGTTTCGCCCGTCTCTCAACTATTTCTACCGATCTTTGCCACAGCAATCACCCGTCAGCGGGATTGATCTGGGTGGCCGAAATCGGCAACGAACCCAGTTAAGCTGAGGCTGTAGTTATAACCACAATTTCAACTTATTATTTACTTCCTATTGTTTTTTTAATGCCAGGGTATATTGAAAAATATAACTTCAATGATGCTGAGATATTTGCAAAACTCAGGCGAAACTGCAAAACTCAAAACCCAGAGACAGGTGAAACGAAGGACCCGCATGGTGTGGTGGTGAACGCGTTACTCCACGGAAAAGACAAAAGCGCGTTCGTTCTCCACCGCTTACACCTGCGGTCTGGAGTTTTGCAAATATCTTAGCATCATTGAAGTTATATAGCGCAATATACCCTGCCGTTAAAAAAAGAGTAGGCAGTAAATAATAAATTAAAGTTAACATATGAATTCCGCCCTTTGCAAGCTCTGAAGACGAGGAAATCCTCCGAAACTTTAGCCCGTATCGAGTAAATCCTGTCTTAGCAATATTCTGCTCGCTCTTCTAAAATAAAACATAAAATTGTTTAGGCACTGGTGAAAAGTCGGTGTTAGGAATTACCTTGAAGTGCTTTGATGCCAGCACTAAACGCTTTTCGAAATTAACCACGGACATCGTAATCAATACGTATTGATCGAGAAGCTGAAGTCTCTTTCACTTTTCGAATTTGACATTTCTACGTATTCACATTCGTACAGAAATCGTTTTCTGCTAGTTGATCATCTACAGATGGTCCCCTCTATATAGTTCAGTACATAACATCTTCATTGACGGAACAACATCAGCGTTTTATTTGCTCAACAATAGGCCAGTTCGTTCACAGAGAATAATAACATAGCACGAATGACAACATTCTCGTTCTCTCATTACATCGAAAAACAGTACGGAAAACATCGAACGTAACTTGAATGAAAACTTATTTGAAGATGCTGTGAAGAAGTTTAGCACTTCAGTTTCCTCCATTCGTCCATACATCCATTCATCCATTCATCCATTCATCCATTCATCCATTCGTTCATTCATTCGTTTCGTCATACTATTGTTGATGTGTTTTTACTGTTCGAGAACAGCTGTTTGCTATTATACGTTATGTTTGCTATTACTGTTTGCTGTCACTTACTCAGACAGAGCACCACATGTCAATAGTGAACAAATCGACAACAGGACTTCAGCATTTATGACGAATAATGAAAGACGCTGAGCAAGGAACAAATTCGGGATTCAATGAAAATCTTCTCCTCCGCCAAATAATTGATTATGGTATAAAGTCACTCACGAAGGTGTGCAACGACGTCGTCAGTTATTGTGCCGATTGTAACCTTGTCCTGAAATGTTGAATTACCGTATTAGGCTAGTTATGTCCCTTTGCTATTCCCAAATAGGTCGACAAAATGCAGGTCATGTAACCTGAATGTCTTAATGACATCGAGGAAACAAAGACGTATGATCGGGAATGGCACTTAATTTACCTAATATCTAGATCCTTTATGACCTTAACCATTAAATAAATATATGTAAGTAAAGTAAAATAAGATGATACATTTTCAGAAAGCTGTATTTCAACGAAAAACGGATGGTACGACGGAAGAGCGAGAGCATTCGGCGCGAATTGGCCGATTGTCAGTGGAATTGGAGCACGATTTTTCCACGACAGAATCTGAACGATCTACATCTAAGGCTAGTTTCATCTTATTTCACTTTTTCCTTTTTTATTTATTTTGCACGGCTCGTCCTTCACATACACTGTGAAGATCCCTAGTACCTCCCATATTCGATTCGTTTTCACGCATCCATCATCCACTAAGATCTTCCAACTTTTGCGTGTGGCTGTTGCTCGGAATATCGGCTGCTGCTTGACGGCTTCCATTCCGTTTTGAATTTCGTAGAATGCTGGTCGAGCAATTCTCCGTGGAGTTCTGAGTTAGCCCGACTGAAGCGTTTCCAATTCGATTGAAGAGAGTGATTATTTCCCAGACAAGTCCGGTACCAATTTCCCAACCCCGAAGAGATGGGAGGCTTGATGGGCCCTGGTTGGAATCGAACCTACACCACTCGCGTAATGGCCGGCGGCACTACCACTGTGCTATCCGTCCCTTCTGATTTTTTTTTGACTTCGCTTTATATCAAGTTACCTAAAGTGGCACAGATAAGATTTTCATAGGTCTATGTAGTGCATTAAAGCTGCCCAACGTCAGCTGTTTCGAAAAGCACCGAATACCGTGCGATTTTGAAAAGGGTTCCTTACTCCTACTTTTTCTGAGAATGCGACCGCTCATTGGTCTGTTGAGGTTTGTTATATCGGAGCTGGAAATACTCAGATCAGCCTATTTTTTGATTCTGTGACTTAACGGTTGAGAATGACTCCAAACCATTTACAAGGTGCTTTTCTAGTCAGCTGTTTGCAGATTTTGCGGAATCCAAATCACAACCCACAACCCACATTTATGCGTGAAATCGAAGTCGCTCTGAAGCGCAGAAGAGAGAGGAGGGAACAATCTTAAATCTATTAGGGTCTAAAATCATTTTAAGCTTCTTTTTCATTCGCGTTTATGTCCTCAAGCGCCCGTTTCCTGCTAATGAGCAAGAAGATGAGATTATCTACGTGACTAACCTGGTCGGGATCTGCCGTTATGAAGATTCATGGGTTACCAATTCTTTCTATTATTTCACAAAAGTAACTGAAACCAAACAGACGAGAAACATGCGCACGTCACCAAAGTATTGAAACTACATAGAACGGTTGTTAATCACCTTTTTTGGCGGCGTCGAAATAATTGTGGAACGTGTTTGTTTTTGAACTTTTAAAAATATCACTTTAAATGCATGTCATATGAAAGGCACCCAAATTCTGTATACAAAGAATGAAAAGGAACGCGGACAAAAAACTAGCTGATGAGATAAAGGCAAAGCAAGGGCCTCAGTGGTGCAGTGAGTAACCCGTGAGTCCCCGGAAAGAGTAGTCCGCAGGTTCGAATATGGCCTACGGTATGAGTTTTTCACATATCTCGGCATTATTGTATTTATATTTCGTATAATACCCTGCCATAAAAAAGTGGTGGGCAGTAAATAAAAAGATATGAGGGCGATATGTTCGTTTACAGAAGCCTGAAATTGAAGATCAAGCTGCAGACTGGACCATTTGGATATAAATGGTTAGGAATGCTCGTCTTCAATGACTACGATCATCGTCGTGGTGAGCTCAGAACGTGTTGTTCCTTCATTTTTTTTCTTCTTCTTCTTTTTTTCGACTCTTCAGCACTGATTGGCTCATAATCAGCATTTTGAACTTTCAGTACTCTCAGTCCTTGCAGGTCGATGTCCATCGCAACTATGCGGTTGTGTTTCTTGTTCGTCATGGAGAAAACTAATCAATAATCCATCAATACCTGTTGAAACCGAACTACCGTTAACAACACTCAATAAATAATCAATACCATATCATCGTAACTGTTTCATTGTCTTCTAAACTTTTTTACGCATAAAATTCGTTGTTCTATTTTCATTTCGATATTTGTACCGCAGTTGAATGATGATGCAGTTCTAAAGTCGTGACATCAGTTTTGATATTGATTTACTTGCTGAGATATTGATATAATCCGTCGTGAACAATCATGCGGGTTCCAGCACTTCTCCCTTTTGTTTCGTCATTTGGCAGCTGTCATTCTTAGACGTAGTCGTTTCCGG